CCCAAGTTTGATCTCCGGTACCAAAAAAAAAAAAAACAGAATGAAGAAGGACCCTTATCTTACATAATATACAATCAACTCAAGGAGTTGGGGATATAGCTCAGCAGCAGAACAGCTGTCTAACTGGCACAAGGCCTAGGGGCTTCAATCCCTAGCACCACACTCCCCAACCCAGAGGAATCCAAAGCAGACTAAAGACCTAAATGTTTTACCCAAAAGTATAAAATTCCTAGAAGAAAACATAAGGAAGGGCCGGGGATTTAGCTCAGTGGTTCCTGCGCCTGCTTTGCAACCCAAGTTCGATCCCTGGTACCAAAAAAAACAAAAACAAAACATAAGGAAAATACTCATTGAGTTTGACAAAGATTTCTTGGATGTGATGTCAAAAGCACACATGATAAAAAAAAAAAAAGATAAACTGGGCAGGGTGATACACTCCTATAATCCCAGTAACTCAGGAAGCTGAGGAAGGAGGATCTAAAGTTCAAGGCTAGCCTGAGCAATTTAGCCAAAATGTCTCACATTAAAAAAAAAAAATTCTTTTAAAGGGCCTGGGCCTGTAACTCAGTGGTAGAGTGCTTGTCTGGCATATGTCAGACCGTGGGTCCAATTCCCAGTACTATAAAAAAGAAATAAAGATAAACCAATGGAACAAATTTAAAAACTCTTATGCATCAAAAATCACAATTGACAGAGTGAAAAGGTAACCTATAAAATTGAAGAACATATCTTCAAATTATCTATCTGTTAATGAATTAATATTCAGAATATATGAAGAACTCCTACATCTCAACAATGACAACAACAACAAAAATCACATAATCTTATTTTTAAAAGCACAAAGGACTTGAACAGACATTTTTTCAAAGGTGGTAACAAATGGCCAATGAGCACAGAATAAAATGCTCAACATCACTCCTCTGAAAACCGCAAAGTACCAACCCAATCACATTAGCATGGCTATTATAAAAAGGTAAAAAAAAAACCAAACCCAAAACAGAAAGTAGCAAGTGTTGACAAGGATGTAGAAAAATTCACTTGTGCACTGCTGGCAAGATTGCAAAAACGGTGCAACTTCTATGGAAAACAGTATGGGCAGGGTCTTCAAAAGATTAAAAGTGAAACTATCATATCCAGTAAGATTCCACTGCAGGTTATGTATTCAAAAACATGAAAAGAACTGAACTCAATAGAAAATACAGTAGAAAAATCACTTCCACTGAGAGGTAGAAGATCTGGCTTCTGTCTCCAAATCTCCTGACCAATATTACCTGATATTAAAACCAGTTAGTTTTATTGGATATAATCATGACATACAGTTACGCTTTTTAATTTTATTTTATTTTTCTGTGCTGAGAAACGAACCTAGCACTTCTTGAAATTTTGTAACAATAGCATACTACACACATTATTAATTTTTAAAAAACATTACATGTCATTCTGTGTTTAACATTAAGAAACTGAAAATTCAAAGAATGATCAAGGGGGTGGAAAAGGAAGAAAGATGTGCTATGTACAATACCAATGCACCCAAGGAATGTGAACAGCATGTGCTGCACACATTTCCTAATTTAAAAAGAATGATCAAGCTTCAAGGACACAGTCTTCACCACTCCTCCCACAAGCATGAACAAAACAGTGTGACAATGGCAGTATAATAAAAGGATTAAGAACACTGAACCAGCTGGGTGCAATGGCACATGCCTATACTTGCAGGAGGCTATACTCTGGGAGGCCGAGACAGGAGGATGAAAAGTTCAAGTCCAGCCTGGGCAACTTAGCAAGATTCAAGATTTAAAAATGAGAGACCCGGGTTAGGAATTTAGCTCAGTAGTTCCACTGCCTGCCTCACAAGCACAAGGACCCGAGTTCGATCCCTGGTACCAAAAAAATAAAAATATAAAAACGAGAAAGGGCTAGGGATATAGCTCAGTGTGAATGCCCTGGATTTAAGAAAACACTGAACAGAGAGTACAGAGTGCCACAGGGAGCTGCTGACCAAGACACATCTAGACAGTAATGGAGAACTTTCTACTGGGAAAATACCTGCCCAGTCAGGGTATACAAATCAAGTATAAGAAGGTGTGGATCTTTCTCAATTATGTGGGATGGACCTACTTCCAGGGGTCAAGCAGATTCCAGAGTAAACAAAGGGTCCACAGAGCACAAAATGATGGCATCCAAAAGAAAATAAAGGCAATACAAGACAAAAAACAAAACAAAAACCACAGAAACAACAACAACAAAAACCTATGAAAGCTAATTACATCAAGCCCTGGACACTGATGAGAAAGATCCAGAAATCAAGTAGCAGTAAAATAATGGGTATAGTGGTTAAGTCAAATGCTACACTAAAACGTAGGAATGAAATGGCACCAACTAGCTTAGTATGGTGAAATCCAAAACAAAAAAGAATTGAAAAGGCAGTAAGAACAACTGCCAAGAATGCTGCTGGGTCACAAGAAGCATGTGGAAGGGTGGCCTTCCTGAGGATGGTTGGTGCCTGGAGATGGAGGTCAGCAAACTGGGCCCTGAGCTGCAACCCCTCCTAGAGTCCCATCATCCATAAAATGTTTTTTGCTTTTGTTTTTCTGAGACAAGGTCTTGCTATGCAGCCAAGCTGGCCTGGAACTTGTTTTCTTTTTGTGACAGGGTCTTGCTCTGTAGGTCAAGTGGACTTGAACTCACTATGGAGTCGAGGCTGGCTTCGAACTCATGATAATCCTCCAGCCTCAGCCTTCTAAGTGCTGAGATTATGAGTGTGGGCCATCATGCCTGGCACAAAAAGTGAATTTTTGAAAAGGCTCTCCAGGGTCACTTCCATTGCTCTCATTCTACACAGGGAGGAAAAAACGAGGATGCCATCAAAGCCTCAACTCAAAGACATTTCTTAGACTTGACTGGATGGCCTGTCAATACCCTGGCTACCCAGGAACAAAAAGGCATGGTCTCCTGGATCCCCCAAAACCCCAATACATACCAGGACCATAAAGAGAAAATGAATAAACTCCATCTTCCAGGCAGAGAATACACAAGGAGATAATGCAGGCAGAGGAAGGCAACCTCCTGACAGCTGGTGCCATGCAACTCCCTAAGCAACTCACTACCTGCTCAATTCCCCCGAGACTGGCTATTCCAGAAATTCCCAGGGCACCTGTCCCCAGCATAGTTCCTCAGCAGGCCCTATGTGGTAGTGAAAAATTAACCTAACACTGAGTGCGGGCTGTGTGCGCTGCACCACCTGGAACTCACGCCTGTCTTACTATCCTCCCAAGAGAACAATCTTGAGATAGTTACAACTACTCCCACTTAATCAGTCCCATCTCAGGGCTGATGGAAGGAAGCCAAGGCTCTGTGAGGTCGTCACATACCCAATGCTGCCCCCCTACTAGAGAGCAGCAGGGTAAGGCCTTCAAGCAAAGGGGGTGTCTGTGTTTCCTGTTGGAAGGACTCAGTCCCAGGTCTAAAAAAAAATCATTTAGCAAGAAGTCAGTGCTGAGCCCAGGCCCTCAGTCTTCTCAGTAAGGCCTTTCCCTAGGGGTGCTTACTGGCAGCCCAAAGTCAAAGGCTCTTGTGCATTTTTCAAAAGCCAGGCCAACAGGTTTGGAGTCACTCCACAGCGTAACTCCTACCAGTTTTTCCATGGGTCCAAAAGCCAGTAAAAATGACCCTATCATTCTGGGTCTACCACCCCAAGGGCAGCTTTTATGGGGTAAAGCAGGTGGCTTGGACTTTACCCAGCAGGAAGGAGAGTTCCCTGGTTCCACAGCCAGGTCTCTGCAGGGAAGCCTGCAAGGGGCTCAATTTCCCCATAGGAAGACAGTGAACCTCAGCTTTTCACAAAAAACCAGACCCAAACCTGGGGTGAGAAGTTGAGGCTCCAGTTTTCCGACTCATCTTCAAATGTAGTAGGCAGCCTACAACTGAATCCGGACTGCTCCATGCAGCTATGGGTAAACTGAAGTCATTCTCAACTGACATTTTGAAAAAACAACAGATTCTAGGGCAGTGGTGGCGAACCTATGGTACATGTGCCACAGAGGGCTATTATCATTAAAAGTTCATCTAAACAGTTCACCATCACTGTTCTATGGCCTTGTCTGTCCTTTTTTTGTGGTTAACTGCAGTTGAATACTGTACTCATCTGTAACTAATAAAGCTATTTAACCATCAAAATGGAAAGAACTCTCAGTGGGAGGCAGAAGACCTGGATTCTAGCCCCAAATCTCCAATTCAGCTTGTTGAATTTTTAATTTGGTTTTGTTTGAGGCTCTGGGGATCAAACCCAGGGCCTCGTACATGCTAGGCAAGTGTTCTACCTCTAAGCTACACCCCTGCACTCCAACATACTTTATCCTGTTGCTCGGCCCCTGCTTCTCTCTGCCTTCACTTCTTTATCTCTCAACAGGGAAGGAGCCCATCCCTACACTTCTCACTCAAGTGTTACAGAAAATGAGAAGGGAAGCAAAACTTTGAGTTCTGCAGCAGCAGCACCACCACCCCCTGCCATAGTGCTCATTCTTTCTTCTCACACCAACCCCAGCCCAGCAGCATCTCAAGGCCCAAACAGGAGAGGCCTTGGGTTCAAGCAGGTTTTGCTGATTCCCTCAACAGAGGTAACTCCAACGGAACCAAGGAGGAAAACAAAAACTCTCCTCCAGCAGTGGAAGGGGCTTCTCATCTTGCTTGTTCTCCCACATCACCTAGAAACACCACTCCTTGTCCAGAAAGGCTCTGGATCAGCGATTCTGGAAACCACCTAAGCCCTAATGAGGGTTTAAGAACACCAAGAAGAGGGCTGGGGATGTAGCTCAGTGGCACAGAGCCTGCCTGGCAAGTGCAAGGCTCTGAGTTCAATTCCCAGTACCAAAAAAACCCCTCCAAAACACCAAGAAGTCAACACTCCTGCCACTTCCTGCCCTTGCATCCTAGAGCTGTCCCTTTGCAGCAACCCAATGCTGCGGTTCCTCCCCCCCGGCTCTGCAGGACACTTCACTCCACACCAGCTGGGAGATAATGTTTGTTCTCTTATATGTGGCTTGGTGGCCTCGCTGTTCATATCAGGATTTGTGACCAAGGGGGTGTCAGCAGGGCTGGGCAGGAGAGGCTGGGGAGGAGGTAAAGCAGGCAAATCACTCTCAAGAGGGATGGAAGGTGAAGGGCAGGGCAGGGCAGGGGCGCCGGGGCAGTGCTGGCTCAGGGAACACGCTGCAGGATGAGCTCTGTGATCTCCGCCCTGCTCCCCAGCCGCATGGGTATCCCGTAGTAGGCCGTGCCCGGGCTGACATATACAAATGTAGCCTGGGCCACTTGGTAGAGACCTACAAAGAAGGGGTTCAGGAGATAAGCTGCCACGTTCCATGGGAAGAGCTGCCCAGCGTGTGTGTGTCCCGAAAGGATCAAGTTAATATCTGGCCGCTCCTGAAGAGCTCTCTTGGCAGCCAGGGGCTGGTGGGCTAGCAAGATGGTGGTGTGGTCTGGGCTACAGCCCCCCAGGGCCTTGCCAAGGTCCATGCCATGGTCAGAGTACCGCAGGATGTCTGCTTCGATATCATCCACCCCTGCCAAGCAGATCCAGTCATCACCTTTCCCTTCACCACGTCGGGCACCTGGTGCAGAAATCTTTACGTTCTCATTGTGAAGAGGCCGGACATGCAGGGATTCCAGCAGGGCAAACCAGTTGGTGACATCTGATGTGTAGTACTCATGATTGCCTGTGACAAAGTAGGTGCCAAGGCGTGAATGAAGCTGGCCTAAGGGACCAACAGCCGTCCGCAGGACAGAGGCTTCCGAGTCAGAGAGGTCACCTACAATCACTGTGATGTCTGGTTCCAGCGCATTCACCATCCTCACAAACAGCTGCATCTTCGTCCTGCCCACGGTAGGCCCCAAGTGGATGTCTGAGAGGAGCGCAATCTTGAGGTTGTTCATAGAAGGCGGCAGCTGATGAATGGGCACCGCCACAGTTTTCACAGCTGGGGGCTGGGCAGCATTCAGAAGGCCCATCACGCTGAGCACGGTGGTCACCACCACCGCCAGGGCGGGCCTGAGCGCCAGCTCCTGTGACTTGTTGAGGCTGCCTACCACCCTACCTCTGCGCCAGGCCAAGAGCTGGTAGGCTTGCTCCAGCCCGCTGAGGATGAAGAGGAAGAATAGCATGATGACATAAGCACCCAGGCAGGAGTAGGCTGCCATGGAAAAGAGATAGGGTTCCTCAGCCACCAAAAAGAACATGGTGAAGAAACTAGAATGGGCCAGTGCCAGAAACACCATAACGGTCAGCTTCCAAAGCCAGAAACAGGTGGACTGCCCGGCCTGGGAGTGGCTGAGGTTGCTCACTGTGCTACGCCAAATGTAGAGGGAGCCAATGAGCATGAGTGAGTTAACAAAGAGGGTGAGCTGCAGGCGAAACAACCAACGCCAGGCCCTCAGGTCAAGAGTCTCTGCCAGATAGGAACGAGAGATGATCATAGACACGAAGACAGTGACTGCAGTCAGGGCAGCCTTCCAGCCCGGGGACAGCTGCCTGAAGAGCGCCATTTCCTCTGCTCCTAGAAGAGTCCCTGCCAGTTCTGTGGAGGTGGGCGGTGGAAGGCGAGTTCCTTAGAAAAACAGTGGCCAACAAGAGGCTTCCAGCTCAGCTCCGCCTGCAACCAGGAACCTGCATCAGCTTTGTGGGATAACAGAGCATCTTTGTCCTCATTCAAACACTTTTATTTTATTTTTGGTACCGGGGATCGAACTCGGGACCTTGCACTTTGGAGGCAGGCGGCAGAACCACTGAGCTAAATCCCCGGCCTTTGTCCTCATTCAAAACCCGAAGGCTGCTTACATCTGCCCAACCCACCTAGAAACCAAGCCACTGAAATATCAGTCACTGACTATACTCTATTAGTAAATGTCACCAGATGGTGACACGATGGATAGTTTTTCTTTCCATGTGTGTGGACTGAACTCAAATTCTTTGCACTGAGCTACATTCCCAACCCTTTTTTGTTTTTAATTTTTTATTTTGAGACAAGGTCTTGATAAGTTGCCCAGCCTAGGCTTGAAGTTACAGTCCCCCTGCCTCAGCATCCCAGAGTGCTAGGATTACGGGGATGTACCATCACACTTGACTACAGTTTTTCTTTTCTTATAGTGTCCTATAAGTTTCTTCACAATGAGCTGAATTTGACAATAAGAAAAACATTATTCTAAATCAGTAGTTCTCAGTGTGTAACCCAGGGAGACCCTCTCAGGGGTCCATTTAGTCAAAACTATTTTCCTAATAATACTAAGCTAGCAGTGTTTTTTCCATTCTCACTCCCTCTCATGCATACAGTGGACTTTTCCAGAGGCTTCCTGGCATGTGGTCTGGCAAGAGACTGAATGCAGAAGTAGATATAAAACTCTGTCTATTAAGACAGACACTATGTAAAACAATGCAACTCCAAGAAGAACTTTGGGAGAAATATGCTATTTTTCATTAAAATGTTTATTAACATGTAATAGGTATACTACTTCTTAAAGAAATTAATTTTATTTTAAAATTTTGTCTATTTAGGACAGTTAAAGATCGAGACCACTGTTCTAAATAAATTCAAACAGGAAAATAATGGTATCTTTCTTCACCTCTAGGCCCAGGAGGGACTCTGAGACCTCTAACAATTGCTGCAGTGCCAGCCTCCCCATGTGGGCTCAGACGGAACATTTCCCAACCACCTGAAGATGTCACATGAGATTGGACACCTATCACCCAAAGATCTGCTCTGTGGACCTGTTACTCAGCCATAACTCCTATGTCTTCCGCTTCCCCCTCAGATAACTGCTAAGATCTGCCTTCCCCTACTCGAGTCCCTTACCCTGTCAAATTCCTCTTTACCAGCAGCTCTGAGCTGGATAGTGTGGACTCCAGGCCTCCCAATCAAGAAAAATTTGTCTTAAAAACAAAACAAAACTAAAATGCGGGTAAGAAGAAGGTAACAGGAGGGAGAAGGAAATGTCATTTTCCCTCAAATGAAAACATTTTCAGCAGCTGCTTTCCAAATACAGTGGTGCCTCGGTTCACGAACCCAATTCTCTCCATGACTCTGGTCACAAACTGAACTGGACGAGAACCGAATCAAATTTCCCCATATTGAACCTAACCTTGATTTAGATTCGGTTCTCATCCAACCCGGTTTGCAACAAGAATCGTGGAAAGAATCAAGTTTAAAACTTTCAACCTGGAAGGCCAGGGATTTGGCTCAGTGGCACAGCGCCTGCCTTGCAAGCACGAGGTTCTGAATTCGATCCCAGGTATCGGGAAAAAAACCCCAAAACTTTCAACCTTGGTTTTCAATAGATTTTGTCATAGGTTGTCGATGGCCTTTCACCTAAAGGTGTATTTTATAAGTCAACGGGCTAGAATTCTGTCAGCTTGTACTTAAAACATGGCACAGACTCAGCCCATCTGAACCCAGGAGGAAACAAAGTTGATGTGTTGAACGTGCAGGGCGGCAAAAGCCACGTTCGACTGCGTCCTAGCTGCCCTTCCCGCAGGTGCGCGCCCCTCGCCTCGCCAGACCGCTCATCAGCGCTGATGCCCACCTGCAGCTGCTCTCTTCCCACCCTTAACCTGGCCCGCAAAACCTTAAAGAAAAAGCGCTTCAGAATGCAAAGAAAAAACAAGCCAAAAACAAAAACACAGGCGGCGGGGCCTGGCTAAAGGCGGACGAGATGTTTGAAAAAAGGGATCACCCCGAAGGAAAATCATCCAAGGTTTCCATCGCAGGGCCTCTCCGGACCCGGTTTTTCTCCTTCCGGAGCGCTCCGCAGAGCACGCGCTGGGGCGGGCAGTCACCCACGAACCAGGAATCCCCCTCCCGGAAAACCAAAGCTGGAAGGATCAGGCGCACCTCACCTGCCAACCTCGCGACGCAAAGGGAAACACAAGTCACGCGAAAGGTTGCTGGCGCCGAACACAACACAGTCCTGGGGATGCAGGAAGGACGCGCGCGCGCCCCGCCCCGCCCCCGACGGGACGCCCGGGCCACTGCCTGCGCGCCGCCGCCACCTGCGGGGCCCCGGGCGCGCGGGGTCTCGGACGCCCACCGTGCAGGGCCGCAAGGGGCCGCGGCCTCAGCTGGGGCTCCCTCCAGCCGGCCTCTACCAGTGCGTTCCCGCGTGGGGGCCCGCGCACTTACCCGGAAGCCGAGCGCAGAACCAAGAAGCAAGAGCTGAGCGAGGCTGTGGAGCGCGACCCCCAACGTGACCATCCTCCGGCCTCCGCGCTCCGCAGTGGGCGCCGGGGCAGCCGCCCGGCCTCCCTTAACTAAGGACCCGCGCCTGGCCCCGCCCCGCCCCGCCCCGCCCCGGCCCTGGCTCCACCCCGGCCCTGGAGCCACCCTGCTTGGCCAGCTCTGGGGACCCTGGAGGCCGGTTCACACGCAGCCTTGTGACTGCAACGTAGGGTTATCTCGCTTCTGTCAGCGTCTTCGGGAGGGAAGACCTTTGGGAATGGAGATAGGGAGGCCCTGCAATCAGCTGCTTGGTAATGTGCACAGGGATTGGATTTGGACCAGGGGCTCCTTCAGCGTCGCTGGCTTGAGAGCACTGCTGGGGGAAGTTGACAATAGCTGAACCCAGACGCGCTGGATAGATTCAGCTTCACAGAACTCCAAAGCAGGGTTTCCCCAAGTGGTTCGTAGCCCAGCTGAATCCACAAGACGCAGAGCTTGTTAGAAATGCGAATTTTGCTGCCTCATCCCTCAAACCTTGAATCAGAAATTCTAAGGATGGAGCCCACCGATGGGTTACAAATGCTATAAACCCTCCAAGTTATTCCGATGCACACTCGAGTTTGAGAATCACGCTCTAGGTTACTAAATTTGGAAATGTGACTCACTGTGCCACAATTATTCCGAGTACTACCCCCCTGGGGCACCAGGCTCTGCAGCTTTTCTTTGTAGCGTTTTGAATGGATAAGAGCAGTAACACCTCCCACCTTTCAATTCTGTATTTAATCCTCTCAAGATCTCTGTGTTGCAGGTAGATCGGTCAAAGGAGTATCAGATTGTAGTATTTTCACATCGTGAGTTGTCGGGGCCTCCAGTATGAGCAGATTTTAGTCTACAGTTAACATTTTTTCCCTGGCTGAAAATTCCACTGTCTCCCACTGCACACGTTTCAGCTTTAATCAAAACGGAGGAAGGAAACTTTAGGTAGCTTGCTTTTAAATATATAAAGTTAAAATTTTGCAGCTTTATTGAGTTATAATTTACACACCATAAAATTCAATCATTTTAGATGTACTTTTTAATTTCTTATTTTGAATCTTATTAATGTCTTTGTAAATTTCTTATTTTGAAAAATAAACATGAAGCTGGGCGTGGTGGTGCATGACTGTAACCCAAGCACTGGGGAGGCTGAGGCAGAAGGATTGCTGCAAGTTCAAGACCAGCCTGAGCTACATAGTGAGTTCAAGGCCAGCCTGAACTACACAGGGAAACTTTGTCTCAATAAATAAATAAATAAATGTGTGATTAAATTACATTATTGACAAAAACTCTTCCCTGTCCTGACTTTAGTTGGGTTCCTATTATTGCAGATAGCTAAGTTAGGTAGAGAATGATAGTCAGGTAGAAAGGGACCAGGCTTATGCTATGCAGAGTCAGAACAGAGATGAGGCAAACCAGGCCTGTGATCAAGGCCTGAGTTGATAGAAACTACACAGGCCCCAAGATGGAGACACCATGGCTAGGCCTGTGAGCCTTCGCAGAAATACATGGTAGTCCAAAGCTGCACTGCAGCTAGCACCCTGAGGTCCAATAAGCCTGAACAATATAACAGACACGTAGAAACAACAGGGAGATTGGTGACCAGAACATTCTGACCCTGGCTCCTACTCCTTCCAGAAATGCCTTTGTTCTTCTCCACACTATGTACCCTTGCTGCGAACCTTGTTTCTCTATTAAATTAATATTAGCTAAGCAACTGGAATGTCAGCCTCTAGGTTCATTATAGTTTGGCCCAAGGCAACCTGTGGTGTGATTTTACTGTATTAAAAACCCCCTAGACAAAGAGCTTTGGTGGCAGCCTACTTCCAGGACCCCTCCTACCTCTCAGGAGCCTTCTCTTAATAAAATCTTTGTTATTCTTCACTTCCTTTGTCTTCAACACCAGTCTTCTGTGTCCTGAGACACAAATTCAGCACATCTAACAGGTTGGGAGTTACTTCCCTGTAACATTACAAGCCCTCTTCTCAACAAGTTCTCCAATTTGGCCTTCCTAGCTGGTCCCATCCTTGCTGGGCCTGCATCACCTTGACTCGGCAAGAATCCTAGTAAGTCAGTTTAGGGAGGACACCACCCCCAGTTCTTGATGTCTCCTCTTAGTAATTTTCCAGCCAAGAGCCCCTTACTCTGCTGGCTGGCTACACTTCCCTTACTGTCTGCTGTACTTGGAGTTGGGTTGGATCACTCTCCTGCATTACAGTGGGGTTTGCCACAACGCTTGGTCTCCCTTGGAATTTTAATGTGTCAGAGTACGTTTTTCCTTAACATAGTTTTCAAATTTTTGAATCTTCTTTCAGTAGATTCTCTTTGAAGGTCTGTTAGTGAGCTTCACTGAGCTGAGAGGCCACAGAATAGGGTAGGTGGTGTGGGCTGATTGTGGGAAACAAGATTCAGCACTTGCTCATATGGAAAGCAAGATGGGGAGCACAGGGTGAGACCCTTGGAACACACAGGATGGTGGAGATAAAGGAGTCCACTGGAAGAGAATGGCTTATGTGGAGCAGCCTGTGGAAAAACTGTAACCTCATCTCTGTTTCCTTGGAGTCTCAAAATGGACCATTCATGAGTATCATGTCAGGAATCGAGCCAAGGGAAGCCCATGATGAGCCTGAGTCACTTTGGTAATTAGTTTGCACCAGCAGTGCCTTTTTTCCAGGGGTACTTGTACCCTTGGATTCTTGTCTCATAGCCATTGGCCACCGCTGGTGGTCTGTGGGCCATTTCCCCTTTAACCACCCCCACTGCTTTTTCCAGATACTCAGTTTAGCTCTCAAAGACAGGGATGAATCAGAAAGCCAGTGAAGACTCCACCCTCAAGCAAGTTCCTCAAGCTCAAGAAGAGGGTAACTTCAGTGAGAGCGGGTTTTCTACGAAAAACAGGGTTGAAGGCTGGCTCTGGTTCCTTGTTCCTTTCCTGTCTCCCTGGGCCACTTCCTTCTTCTGTTCCCCAGGGTGCTTACCAGTCCCAGCTGGCTACCCAGACAGTGGGCTTCTCATTTGCTGCAGTGTCATAGCAATAAAATGTGATTCCTGGGGTCCTCCAGGGAGCTACCTGTGGCTTTATTTATGAATCTGGCTTTGGGGAGTCAGGGGAAGAGATGACTGCTTCCATGCATATCCCCATCTTCCTCGAGTCACACCTCAGAAGAAAAGGGTGCTTGGATTTTCATTATACACACATGCTTTGTGCACGTAAATGTTTACAATTTTATACTGAAGATGGAATGAGTGTTAGAGCTTCCAACTGTATATTTTTTTAACTTTTATAGATTTTAAAACTATGATGCTTTATACATCTTTTTTTTTTTGGTACTGGGGATTGAACTCAGGACCTTGTGCTTGCAAGGCAGGCAGTGGAACCGGTGAGCTAAATCCCTGGCCCCTATACATCTGTTTTTGAGGAGCTATTGATAAGTTTTATGGCAAATAATGAATATTGTTAACTTTTCATGGTGATCAGAAGTACATAAAAATCCTATTAATCCCTTTATTCTTCCACTTCCCTAAACTCTGGTATATGGCAAAAAGAAGTCTTTGCTTTACTTGCTATATCATTATGAAAATAATAAAAATATTTTGCTAGTAAAAAAATAATAAAAATTTGAATCTTCTTAAAAATCTTAGTTCGGATTTCAAATGCTGAGGATGCCTATTATATGATTGGAGGTCTTCTCTGACCTGAGGGTGGTTACAGGAGGGTGTTTGCCTTAGTATAACTAATTGAGCAGTTTATTTTGTGTTGCCTTCTGTATCTGCATTTTTAAAGTTAAAAGTTATATTTTACTTTTTAAAAGGTTAAAATAGTAACCTTAGTCATCTTAGTACCTCCCTGTTCCAAAAAACAAACCTGTGTAGATTATATAACAAAATGGCTAAAATTTCATTTGCTTATTCCTTTCTCCTTTCCCACTCGATACTTCCTTGAGGAACCAAGAAAGGATCAGTTGCCAGCTTTTCTTCTCTTTCTTTTCATGCATGGAATGGCAACTCTCTCTTCTTGTACTGTGAAGCCCTTTCCAAGCTCTGCAATTCTACCCCAGTACTAAAATGCAAGAGCTTCACAGGCAGGCACACCATTTACCATCTGTATGGCTGTGAAGATGTTATATAACCTCTCTAAACCTTAGTTCCTTCACTGCTAAAATAGAGACAATCACTGGGTAATTGGGGGCGGTGCCAGAGGTGATAGCTATAAAACGGTTGGCACATACATCATCTTAGTGGGACAGCTGGTGAGAGTAGATAATGCTATGCATTAGTGTTTATGCTCTGAAGTTGGCATGGTGCACACGCCTGTAATGAGGCTGTGAGGCAGGAGGATTGCAAGTTTGAGGCCAGCCTTGGCTACATAGTGAATTCAAGGTCAGCCTGAACTACAAAGCGAGACCCTGTCTCAAACCCCTCCCCCCAAAAAAGTTAACATTCTGATTTTGACAATAGCACATTGCTTAAAGATTAAATAAAGCCAGACATGGTGGTGCACACCTGTATTCCCTATACTCTGGGAGTCTGAGGCAGGAGGATCACAAGTTTGAGCCCAGCCCAAGCAACTGAGAGACCCTGCCTCAAAAAAAAAATTTAGGAAAGGGGTTGCTGTGAATATATTTCAGTGCAAAGGGCCTGGGCTCAATCCCCAGGACTCCAAATTAATTAATTAATAGTTATGTATTGATTTTGATCATTACATTAGTTATATAAGAGAAAATACTTAGTTTTTAGGAAACAAAAGGGTGTCATCTTTACAACTGACTATACCAATTCAGAAAAAAGATGTGGAGACAGAGCTGGGTGTGATGGTACATGTTTGTAATTCCAGCACTCTGGGAGGCTGAGGCAGGATTATGAGTTTGAGGCCAGCCTCAAACAAACAAATTTTTAACAAAAACCTGGAGAGAGAGAGAGAGGGAGAGAGAGAAAATGGCAATCCAGAGCTGGTATTCCAAGTGAACCTGAGAAAGAAAAGCAAATTTGAAAAAAATGTTAACATTTGGGGAATCAAGGAAGGAATTTTGTACTGTTTTTCCAAGTCTGAAATTACTCCCAAATGAAGTTTAAGCCAG